TGTCGAATCGCCCGGCCATTATTTCCAGGATGTTTTCGCGATAATAAAGCCGTGTTGTACGGCAGGCTCGTTTGGACCCCCAGGATAACGGAAGTAGTCTGAATGGAAGGAGGAAAAGAGAAAGTCGTGGCACCCTTCGTGTTCTTCCGCTCTCTTCACGGTTAACACCCTCGACTCATACATACATATGAACGAGTCCGGGCAGGAAATACGCGACTACCGCGAATAAGCACTCGTAAAAATTGCAGCCTCGTTTGCAGCTCTCCGTTTGCACGAAGTCCCTATGCGTTAAGAGATAACACATGCATTATATACGTTCCGCATCTTGACGTCACCGTGATATCACGACATGGCGATTAAAAGTGCTGCTTGTCTGCGTTCGACGAGAGAAATCAAATTTTTTATTTATCGCAACTGAGATATGAGAATAGTATATGCTCCGAACAAATAAATTTTAATGAAAAACATACGCTTGGATGCGCATCAAAAGGAGCGAATTCGGAAATTTTTTCAGACAAAAAAGAAAATAAAATCGGAGATTAAATGTAAAGAGAAGAAGATGAAAATTTATTTTGCCAAAAAGATTATATTATTTATAAAATTTTATGTTTTTAAATACTTATAAAAGAATATATATCATGCTTATATATAAATATAGATTCCTCGTAAATTCTAAATTAATTCGTTTTATCTTCGGAAAGAGTCTCGAATATCATAAAAGGGATATTTATTGCTATGATGACTATGATTTATTTTGCAATTTTTATGCCGCAGTTTCCTGAGAATAATTCGCTGACTTTTGCGAAAGAGATTTCTCTCGTGAAGATGTCACGTGAGAGCAATATTATGACGTCTCTATCCAGCACCCTTTTTAAGAGATCGGCCACCCTCGAGCTCTTCACGCTTCATGCTAATTTCATCGATCTGATGTCGGCTTCTTCCTCTTGCGCCACGATTTCAGCCCTCGCCGCGTGTCCGCCTTTATGCGGGCCGCGCGCGGATGAAGGATAATATCTACGTTCCTTTTATGCTATTCGCGTATCATATCGCACGACTCTGTATCCGTGCAAAAATGTGTCGGGAATCCCATTGTCGACGATGAGCCAATAAAACGCCACGAGTCCTCGCCCTACGTGCCTTTCATTATCCATCTGATCCTTTTCGAATGAAATGCCAGCGTTTAAAGCAACACTGAATTAATTTTGGCTAATAAATACCTTCTAGAGGAGTGCGCGTTTGTTTTAATTTTTTATGTTTTGATGAACCATAGTCCGTTTGAATTTAAATCAAGAGTCCACCTTTTGTTAGCGCATCTCCGAAGCCCGTTTCATAAAAATTGGCTCTAAAGCAAACAACGTGTCATTAAAATTTAATGCAGAAGTGGAGTAGCTTATGCGTCTAGAAGAACCTTCCACTTTCGAGATTGGTCGAAGGAGGAAGTGTCGCGATATGGAAGTGCCTTGTGGTTTTGCAAAGCGCCTGCTTGGCTCGCCACAAAAGCGGGCTTATTGTGGTGTCGATTTCCACGGCACAACGATCTCTACGAATAATAACTAGGGTGACACACGTCGTAAATATATCGCAACGATTGAGAAGCAGCCAGCACGATATTTGCGGTTTGACGTCAATCAAAAAACGGTCAAACAGCCCGGACACTCGATGTCACGCGAGGCGCCGATTGTCCCTTGACAGGCAGCCGTCGCTCGTTGGGTTTCTGGCTTTGTCGCCAAGTGCTTCTTTGTGCGCGACAACGACTTTTTTCATTGTGGATCGGTTTTGACATCGGCCAACTTCACAGGCGCAGCTTGGAATCATCGACGAATCAGCTTGCCTAATCTGGAAGATTGCATGGATATTTCCGTGCTCCGATAAGCACATGATAGAAGTAGAATTTAAAATCAAGTTTCTGCATATCATAAAAATAAAAAATAATAACATAAAATCAAGAAAAAATATTACATTTGCCATTTTATATAAAAGCTATTCGTTACATCTTATTAAAATTTAATTATTTATTGTGAAAGAACTTTAATCAGACTTTTTGCCAATTTGAATACTTTTTATAATTTTGATTTTAGAAGAGTATATTGTGCAAAAGTTCGTACTTTTTTATTGCATTTGTAAATCAGTCTTTAATACTTTTTTTAAGAAGGTCGGACGTTTATAATTAAATGAAGCGCAATGAAGTGTTTTTGATCCTCGTCATCTACCGGTCATCCATTCTATCCCCTTCTATATCACGAAGGTTGTTAATTTGCTGACGGAAGGCATTTGAATCTTTGGAGGTACACGTGAAGGCAGGATGTTTCGGACATCGGTGGATGTTGGCGACAAGACGAGGGGTGAGTGCCGGTGACGTCTCTTTCGCGTCAGCGGCGGAGAGACACGACGAGATCGTGCGGTTGTGGTGGTGATGGTGGCCGTCGTGGGCGCCGAGGGGGATGACGCTCCGCTCCGGTGGTGGGTCCGAGATGTCAGCTCGTTTCAACGCCGTGGTACCCTGACATCGGGTCTAACAAACCCCGGGGAACGAATATCTCCTATGACCGATCCGGCATTCTGTCGCTCTGGTACCGCCGTCATTCGGTTTATTTCTCTCGTGTCTCGTCCTGCCTTTTGATCCGGTGCGTGCAATATAATCAAGATGCGACGAATAATCATGAAAAATTATCTACCGAAACCGTTCACCTCCATTCCAGATTTATCGATTGATAGGTTGCATTAGGATACTTTAAGATCCTTCGTAAAAGAAGGTCAGAATTTTATCGATTACATTGAAATATTAAAAATAGTGTGTTAAGTTCATAGGAGTGATTAATTTGCTTTACTTTAAGCATTAAATATGAAATTAAAAAGAATTTAATTTCAAGATTTACAAAAAGAATCAAGCATAGGCAGCGTTCAACAGAATGTTTATTTTTTATAAATTTTTTGTTGTAAATTTTCTTTATTAAGAGATAAGATTATTCCTTTAGATTTAAAAGTATAATCCAATCAACGTGAAAAAAAATTTCCAACAATTACAAAATAAATATTCTCCTGAGAGGCCATTATTTTTACAATTAAAGAACGTTCTATAATAATTTGTCATATTTACACAGAAAGAATGGTTTTGCTGAAGTGTCTAAAAATTTAGATAGATGCAGATCTGAAAATAGTGCGTTATGTTATAAATATTGGTACAAAAAATTATATTGTCGCATTCATTTCTCAATCAAGCGAGTCTCGAACGTACTTTCGCGCGCGCGTGAACACATTAATTCTCGATACTCTTAACGACGGATCGAAATTGAAAAATTCGTCCTTTTATTATGCTCTTAATACGGCGTCGCTTGCCGCGACGTGCGTGGCATAATACAAGAATGTAAAGGAATAAATTGCAAAACTATCGGCAGCAGGAGGCCCTGCCGCTTTAGTTTTGTGAGAATTCTTTTACGGCTTCGTTGGGATTTATACGAGCTGTAAGTGACAGAAGCGACGAACGCAGCCCGCGGAAGAAGACAAATAAAAGATACGAAAATAAAAAGAGCGACCCTGTCTTTAGGAGATCGTAAATTCTTCGCGCCGTAGATATTTCATCGTGCTCGCATTCGCATATACACGCGCAAAATAAATGGTTTGATATGATGTCGCAAACAAAAAGCTCGACTTTTAATTTTGTTTTCATTTTTTGCGCAAGAGAGTACAGTTAAATAAAAAACTTATTTCTGAATAAAAATTAAATAACACGACTATGTGATAGAAAATATCTCTGAAAAATAATATTCGTTAATTTTCAACCTCTTGATGCATGTGGGAAAGGTAGAAAAAAAATAAGTGAGAATTGAAGAAAAATTAAAAATGTAATCCGAAATTAAAAAGTTAATAAAAAAGAAAAGTACGCAATTAAATATATTTAAAAGGAATTAGAAAGGAATTAGGAAATTAATAATATATATGAAGTGTCCTTATATGTTAACATAATAATTAAGAAATGAACAATATATACGTATACATGTACATAGGATACATCGCGACTTGAAACTTGTTCTCGCGTAGATTTCCCGTTGAAATCTTCATATCGCGATAGTATCGAACGTAATATACATTGTGACGTTGTATGTAGTACTGCGGCGCTCACTTTAGAGTTAAGAGCGATCACGAATTTCGGTACGCGGATGCGTGCGTAGAGAGCGTTCACCCGCGCTGCAAACGCGCGAGTGCTTACGTACTTACGTCGGCAGAAGCCAAGTCCCCTTGGAGTGGCGCAGAGACGGATATAATTGAAGGCGGAGGTAATTAACTCCCTCGTGCAATGCGCCGCGCCGGCAACCGCTCACCGCATCGTTTTAATTACCACTCTCGTCGCATTTCATCGGGCAGAAGCGTCTTCCTGCTTCTCTCTCTCTCTCTCTTTCCCGGAGGATCTTCATCACTCTCCGCACACTTCGTATTTATAATAAATCCGATACCATCGAGAAGAGGAGAGAGCGAGAGAGAGACAGAGAGAGAGAGAGAGAGAAATAAAGTTTATTACTGTTCTCTAGGACAAACCCTCTAAGGACATACAGATAAATGAACAAGACATTCAGTAGCGTAAATAACAAAAAAATAAAAACAGTTAACGAACGCATACACAGTATAAAGAAATGCCTATAACTAAAAAATACGTAGATATATAAAATAAATGAAATAACATAAAGAATATAACGACTAATATGATAGAAATTTTCATCACACGTTTCTTTACTAGGTATATAAAATGTAATGAGAAAAGTAAGAATAAGAAATGTATATTTTAAATTAAATTACAGTAAAAGTCGCTAAAAAGAAACTTTCATTTCTCTGTATTCTTCGATGCAATAAAAAGTATTGCTCGTACGTAACTTTGCCGTGAAATATATCAAACTATTCAAGATATATCGTAAATCAAAGGGTCCAAAGTTAAGCAGAATTCATCTGACTATGCCAATACACAATTAGTTGTTTTATATATTGATGAACGTGTTTCCGGATTGCAGGTGTCCTCGATCAACAGGGTACTGAGGAATCTGGCCGCGCAGAAGGAGCAGAGGCAGCAACAACAGCAGCAACAAGGGGTGGGCGCCGTGGGGGTTGGCGTCGGTGCCGGCAGTCCGGCGGAGAGCGTTTACGATAAACTCAGGCTACTAAACGGTTGACCCAATCCCTGGTAAAACTTATTGGCTTATTATGCAAACAAATTATGTGCTCGTTAGAATGATATTCTTATGCAAAACACGTGTTCTTTAATCGAAGACAAGGATCAACTTTATTTCGATTCTTTTTTTAACTTGTTTCCAATTTTTCATCTGTAAGATTTAAGTTTAGGAAAAATAGTTGATTGCATAACGAATTATAGGGATGGAGTTCCGGGATAACTTCCGTAATCAAATGGAAAAAATTAAATCTCCCGAATTCTCGGAAAGATTTTTTAAATAAATTTCTATTATAGATTATACATGAGTTTTTTTCTTTTTTTTTTTAATACTTTTCTTGATAGAATCTTATTTATAGCATGCGTAACATGTGTACTCTCTTGCTGAGAGCAGTCGTTATCTTAGGTATCCGTCGAGCGCGGGAAGTCCGTTTTCGTCGATACAATCTAGTTTGAGTCCGAGCCATTGTTCGTCTCTGCCACCGGATCCAGCGGATATATTGCACGCGAAGAAAGGTAAGTCTATATTTGAATAATTATTATGACACCTTTCTAGTGCACAGTGCACTAGATCTAGTTTACTCGATTTTTCCATAACACGGCTACTACGAAGAAATGAGATTCTTCGTCGAAATGTTCAATTGTATTATACAGTTTGCTAATGGCATCTTGTATTTTTCGTCAATACTACATTTAGACAAGCAAAAGGCTATGCTCGCGTATACGACGAAAGTCTTCGACAATTGTTGGCGCACAATATATTCCGGTATGCTTTCTGTGTTGAAGCGCTAGCGTGAAACACAAATACGTGCGTGCGGGATGAGTGGCCACAGGCGGTAAGCGCGGGAGAGGTTTGTTTTAATTAATTAATCTGTCGGGCCAAACGATACTAATATCAATGTAATTCCGTTGGTGGGTCCCGCGGTTTGCCGCACGCGTGTGTGCAACGCTTTTCCGGTAATAATTTTCCGGTAACGTTTAAGCGCGGCCTTCGAAGCGTGGAGGAACAGAGAAACGCGAAGCAAATCGGAGCGAACGAGAAAGAAAGAGACGGTTCGGGGTTGGCGGGGGATGCAGGGGATTGCGCAGAAACGTGGTTGCAGTCGACCGACCAACCCACGCGAAACTACTCCGCCACCGACGGCATATTCCTCCCCCTCGCCCCTGTTCCTCTCCTCCCCCCCCCCTCTCTTTCCCTACCCCCGCGCGCGTTCTCTTTGGCGGCACATCAAACGCGTGCGATTTCTTTCCCCCGCATTTTCCCGCCATCATCACCGCTACAGCTCCGTGACGCAGGGTGCGTCAGGAGCAGCGAAGAACAGTTCCCTTGATTTTTTTTTATTTATCACGACGCTTGCCCCGTCGATCTTGCCGATCATGAGGAAAGACTTGTGATTCTGCCTGCTTGCATATATGACTTGACGAAATGCAAATTATCTTACAATTATTCTATCAAACAACATTGGGAAGAAATTTCCGGATCGTCTAAGTATTTTTTATAAAATATAAATATATAATTATAACGTATATTATTTTACTAGTAAGTATATTATTTTACTAGTAAAGTTTGTTGAAATAAGTTTAAATTATTTTGGTAATGATAATAAAAAATATGTACTTGAAATATTAAATATAAATTTACATTTTAATTTGCACGTTAATTGGCTTTATAACAAAAATAATTTTATATAAAATGATTCCAAAATTTGCAGAAGGTCGTACATCTCAATAAGTCACATTATATCTAAACCAACCCAGATCATACGAACCAACGATAAATTTTATCGTTAATTACTTATACGCTATATATAATCTATATAACTGATTATTACAACTGATATGTTGTATAATTCAAAAACTAACATAACACAGAAACAACTTTTCAACAACTGTTTAAGATCCATCAACGATTATATACTGATAATATTAATCCCGTAGAAAAATAACGAGTTATCGCGAGCGCAAGATCTTTACAGTAGAGAACATTATTTCGTATTACTTCGCGGTACAGGATATTATTTCGTATTCCGATCTTATAGAGGAGGGTAGGAGGGTACGCAATCAAATATGGTAACTGTTGCGAGCGTTCAACCGCATGCGGGCCCCGGGGGCCGGATTATCGATGCGTTGCTGCGGGGGTAGCACCGTTTATAGGATAACCCGTGTCAGGAGGGTTGTTTCACCCCCTCCGTCCTTTTCCCCCTTCGTCCTCTTGCCGTTATCTCTTTTCGTCCTCTCACCGACGTCTCTTCCTCTCTGTCTCTTATTCTCTCCTTGGAGGTCTATCTCCCGCGTGTATCCTCCCTAAGTGTATCTCGACTGTTGTCGATGTATCGGTCGAAACGGAAGACCCAACAACGCCCCCGGCCAATCACGCGGCAGCTACCCCCCGTTCCTCGGAAAAGCAAAGCGAAAGCAGATTACGGCGCAATCATCGCGCGAGCTGCAGGCGCCGCTTGTTCCCCCTTGTCCCGGCGAGGGGTGAAATTTTTCGATCTGGCCTGTTTCATACTGTACATCTTAAATTCTAGAAATCTACATTAGAGACTTAGAAGCGCTAGTATAATACATTTTTATTTCAAGACTATCTTAAATAATATCTTAAGATGTCTACAATATGATTCTGTGATTAACTTATGACATCTGAATTGTATTAAGAACTTGAATATAAGAACGGACTATGAATACCGCTTTCAAAATTTTTACTTTTCTTTGAAAATTTTACGCGATTATTATTTCTTCCTTAAACTACCCAGATAGACAGATGTACATAAATTTTACTACAACTTTACATTGTATTCGATCATCAAATGCAAAAAAAAATTTAATTATAATTTAATTTGTTTTTTTATTTTCAGAATATATTTATTGAGTTTATTAATTATTTGTTGTTCAGGATCATGTCCTGAATAACATTTGTTAAGGTCATTGGAGATTGTTTCTCTTATTTTCAGTTTTACATAAAAATGAATTTTCAATGCAAAAATGAAAATAAGAGAAACAATCTCCAGTGACCTTGATCTTAACAAATGTTATTCAGGACATGATCTTAAACAACATTCAAGAGGTTTTAGCCATCGGTCGGACATCTTGGGTAATACTAATGCCGACGGTACTGTAACTTTCAAGCCTTATAACTCGCAAAGTACTTAATGAAAATGAACTTAATTATAGTGTTTTGGAAAGTTCTCAAGATAAGCTACAAAAATATGCAATGAAAAATTGAGTTTTATTTAAAAAATTCAAAGTGACCTTGCTCTGACCTTGACAACGCTACTCAAGGTCAAACCAATAACACCATCTTATGTCCCCCTCGAAGTCACAAAACTTTTGTCTGAAACTCTTTTCGATTTAACGCAGTGTTTCTGAGATATTTGAGTGGATTTTTAAAAATGGGACACACCCTGTATGTTCATTGTGGAATACGTTTACGTAGATTATCTGTACATCGATTTTTATACAGTGACTGCAATATATGATGAATCAAAATAATAAATAGATTTTAAATGCGTATTAATAAATGCGATGAGGAAAATGCATAGAAAGGATGGTATTTATGAGAGACGATTTTTTTATGTCGATAACGTCGAGAATGAAAATCATTGGTACGACCTTCGTTTTTAACGACAGAAATCATTTTAATAAATTAGCTACAACGCAATATTAAAGTTAACCCTTCGTTGTCGCATCGTTCTAAGCACTCTCCTACGTACATACGCTCTTCAAAGAGAGTTATTTAAGTCTTCAGCGGTTCTCCCGATAATGTCGATACTTTTATAACGTCGAAGAGAAAAGAACGCACTTTCTTCGCACTTTCTATAAAGAGTTCATGTTAAAAGATCTAACCCAACAAGGACGAAGACATACTTTTTAATTTTTTACGCTTTCGTCGAAGAGCGTCGTTGCTACTTTCATTTCCTTCTTGACGAGATATGGAAAATAGATCAACAGAACAAATTTCCCTTGAAACAATTATAATAGCTCGAGAAAAAAGCTGTAGTTGCCTTGAAAGTGAGGTAATTCTGTCGCTCCTGCAAACTCCTTTTAACATCATTTAATTGCGCAGTAATTATACGGAATAATAAACTAACAAAAATACAATATATCGTTACGACATATTTTGTTTTACTTTTGCGATTTATTTGTTCAAAAATTTTGAAAAAAGTTTTTAAAAATATTTTTATTAAAAAATTATTTCTAAGAATCAAATTTAATTAGAATAGTTGGCTAAGAGTAATCAGAAATTTCATAATTTTCACTTAAATTTCTAAACAAATGATTTTTTTTGCAAGGAGCATTTACAATCTACATATATGGATTTTTTATTTCCATAATGGATCATCTTATCTTTCCCATTTCCATTGAATATTATTTCCAATAACGTTCAATAATTGAACGTGCGAGATCGATACGGTGTTAATGCCTGAGATCTCGTGTAAAAAATATTTTCCGAATTAAATATAATCAGTTTAACTTAGATATCATCGCGCACAGCTGTCGTCATGTTGTCGACGTCGTCGGGTTGTCTGGTGAGTCTGATTCACAATGCATCCCGGGGTGGCATTGTATCGCATTGCGCGAGACCAAACGACACGACGTAGAGGCATGTAGAAGAATTTTCACCAGAGGATAGCGAGATGAGAACAGGCAAATGAAAGGGAAAAGAAGATAAAGAAAAGAAAAAGAGAAAAGACAGAAGACTGGCGAGATAAAGGGAGGAGAGAGATAAGAGCGCGCGGGAAGGGTCTCCATCGTGATCGAGGCGAAAGGGGTTCGGGTCGTTGCAGCATTGTTTTTTCACCTCCAAACCCTGCATGTGCGTCACTGCGGGGGAAACACGGGATCTCGAATACCTTTCTATGATTTCAATATCGCTGATACGCATACCGTGTACTACGTGAACATTATTGACGATGTCGACGTGAGAGGACAATATGATAGCCGGAATTATTTTCGCCAATAATGTGAAATTCCCTTATCTTCGTGCACAATTACATGAATACTTATACGTGCGAAACTCTTTCGGTATAATGTACAAATTAATTTTATGTAAAACGAAAGAATAGTTTAATTGTACGTAAAAAAATTTCAATCGCCGATTTTTCCATGGATGGATAATTTTTCCTCATTTTTCTAGTCCTCGAGCCTTCATCTTGAATACGCTTCCAGTCGCGTTAATTCTGTTTTAGTTCCAGTCCCGAAGTCACACGATAAAATTAAAGACAAGTAAAATTTAAGTGCGAAAATGATTGGTTCTGGATTTAATGGTATCTCTCTTGCGCATATTCAATCTCTCTAAGTCGCGAAAGACAGATTAATGCGCTTTTATCATTGGCGTCTCTGTCGTATTCGTTCAGCACGAGTCTCCCTTGCGAATCCCTTCTTCCTGGTTCTGTCTGCTCATCGAAGGCGCGCGCGTATTCAGCCTTCCGCGACACATTCGCCGATCTCCGTCCGAGATGCAGAGGTAAAACAATAATAATGGCTGCCTGCTGCGCCTGGTACCACGGGATCGA